AAGAGAGAAAGTCGTGGCACCCTTCGTGTTCTTCCGCTCTCTTCACGGTTAACACCCTCGACTCATACATACATATGAACGAGCCCGGGCAGGAAATACGCGACTACCGCGAATAAGCACTCGTAAAAATTGCAGCCGCGCTCTCCGCTTGCGTGCAGTTACTACGCGTTAGAAGATAACGCACGCGGCTATTATGTATACGTTTTCGCGCCTTAACGTCGCCCTGACATCACGGCATGGCGATTAAAAATATTGCTCGTTTGTCGAACTCTAATTTTGCAACTGACAATGAGATATAAGTATTGTATGTTCCGAACAATTGAACTTCATTGAGAGGCATACACTCGGTATGCCTCATTTAAAGAACGAATTCAAAAATTTTTTCAGATGAAAAACAAAATCAGAGATTAAATAGAGAGGAAGAGATAAATTTATTTCGCCTGATTATATTGATTATAAGATTATATTATATTTATATAGTAAACGTTTATAAATTCTTATAAGGAATATATTATATAGTTAAAATATAGATTATGTATTTTCCACTCATATTTATGAACATAGATTATATTCCTTATAAATCCTAAATCAATTCGTTTTATCTCCGGAAAGAACCGCGAGTATCGCAGAAGGGGCTATTTATTGCTATAATGGTTGCGATTTATTTCGCCAGGCAATTTTTATGCCGCGGTTTCCTGGATATACTCCACTGACTTTCGCGGCGAGAGAGATTTCCATCGCGAAGGTGTCACGTGAGAGCAATATTATGACGTCTCTATCCAGCACCCTTTTTAAGAGATCGGCCACCCTCGAGCTCTTCACGCTTCATGCTAATTTTATCGATCCGATGCCAGCTTCTTCCTCTCGCGCCGCGTTTCCAGCCCTCGCCGCGTGTCCGCCTTTGTGCGCGCACGGATGAAGGATAATATCTACGTTCCTTTTATGCTATTCGCGTATCACATCGCGCGACGCTGTATCCGTGCAAAAATGTGTCGGGAATCCCATTGTCGGCAATGAGCCAATAAAACGCCGCGAGTCCTCTCCGCTTCGCGTGTCTTTCATTATCCGTACGATCCTGTTCGGATGAAATGCCAGCGTTTAAAGCAACACTGAATTAATTTCGGCTAATAAATAGCTTCCAGTGGAGTACGTTTGTTTCTAATTTTTATATTTTGACGAATCAAGGTCCGTCTGAATCAAAAGTCCGCCTTTGTTAGCGGCCTCTCCACTCGCAACTCTGGAGCCCGTTTCATAAAAATCGGCTCCAAAAGCAAGCAAAATGTGTCATTAAAATTTAATGCAGAAGTGGGGTAGCTTATATGTGTCCAGAAGAACCTTCCACTCTCGAGATCGGTCCAAGGAGGAAGTGTCGCGTATGCAAGTGGCTCGGTAGTTTCGCAAAGCGCCTGCTTGGCTCGCCACAAAAGCGGGGCTTATTGTGGTGTCGATTTCCACGGCACAACGAATCTCCAACGAATAATAACGGGGGTGACACACGTCGTAAATATATCGCAACGATTGAGAAGCAGCCAGCACGATATTTGCGGTTTGACGTCAATCAAAAAACGGTCAAACAGCCCCGGACACTCGATGTCACGCGAGGCGCCGATTGTCCCTTGACAGGCAGCCGTCGCTCGTTGGGTTTCTGGCTTTGTCGCCAAGTGCTTCTTTGTGCGCGACAACGACTTTTTTTTCATTGTGGATCGGTTTTGACATCGGCCAACTTCACAGGCGCAGAGTCATCGAAGAACCGGCTTGGCTAATCTGGAAGATTGCGTGGATTTCCGCGCTCCGATAAGCACGTGATACAATTTGAAACCAAGAGTCTCAATATTATCGAAATGAAAAAATAACGACGTCAAATCAAGAAAAAAAACATTATGTTTTCCACTTTATGTAGGCGTTCTTCACATCTTTCTAAAATTTTGTCTTTTATTATGAAAAAAACTTCGGTCACATTTTTCCCAACTTGAATATTTTCTATAAGTAGTTTCGGTTTTAGAAAAATATGGTATAGAAGTTTGTATATCCTATTGCATTTGTAAAGGAATCAAATATAATATATGTATAGAATATTGTATTTTTTTGAAAAAAAAGATCGGACGTTTATAGTTAAATGAAGCGTAATGAAGTGTTTTCGAACCCGGCTCGTCATCTACCGGTCATCTATTCGAAATCCCCTTCTACACGTCACGGAGGTTGTTAATTCGCTGACGGAAGGCATTTGAATCTTCGGAGGTACGTGAAGGCAGGATGTTTCGGACATCGGTGGATGTTGGCGACAAGACGAGGGGTGAGTGCCGGTGACGTCTCTTTCGCGTCAGCGGCGGAGAGACACGACGAGATCGGTGCGGCGTGCGGTTGTGGTGGTGATGGTGGCCGTCGTGGGCGCCGAGGGGGATGACGCTCCCGCACCGGTGGTGGGTCCGAGATGTCAGCTCGTTTCAACGCCGTGGTACCCTGACATCGGGTCTAACAAACCCCGGGGAACGAATATCTCCTATGACCGATCCGGCATTCTGTCGCTGGTGCCGCCGCAGCCGCCACCGCCGCCGTCGTCCGGTTTATTTCTCGCGTCTCTCATCCCCCGTCTTTTGATCTGGCGCGTGCAATAAAACGCAATCAAGATGCGACGGATAATCACGAGAAATTATCTGCCGAGTGTTTCGGGACCTTCATTCCAATAACAGATTTAACGATTGACAGATTATGTTAGGAACTTTAAAAACATTTCGCAGGAGAGAATCAGAATTTTATCGATTACATCGAAAATGTCTTGAAGATAGAGTGTTAAGTTTCACAGAAGTGACTAATTTTTAGTCCGTTTTGCTTTAAGCACGTAAAATATAAAATACAAAAGAATTATTTACTCAAGATTTATAAAAAGAAATCAAGCATTGCTCTTAACCTTTAAACCACCACGTTCAAAAAAACTACAATGTCGGTCTGACAGACCGCTATTATGCTTCCGCTAATTTTAACAAAAAAATCTCGTATACAAGAGAAATAAAATATATTTAAATTATGGCAAATAAGAAAATTGTTGAAAAGTAAAGTTTCAATAGCGGTCTGTGAGACCGATATAGTGGTTTAAAGGTTAAAGTTAAAAACGCTTTATAAAAATACTTAATACTTTTATTACGTTACGAGCATTGCTCCCAAGAAATTATATTGCCGCATTCGTTTTCCAATCAAGCGAATCTCGAAAGAACTTTCGTGGACACATTAATTCCTGATACTCTTAACGACAGAGTCGGAATTGAAAAATTCGTCGTTTTACTGCGCGCTTAATACGGCGTCGCTTGCCGCGACGTGCGTGACATAATACAAGAGTGTAAGGGAATAAATTGCGAAACTATCGGCAGCAGGAGGACCTGCCGCTTTAGTTTCGTGAGAATTCTTTTACGGCTCCGTCGGGATTTATACGAGCTGTAAGTGACAGAAGCGACGAACGCAGCCCGCGGAAGAAGACAAATAAAAAGATACGAAAATAAAAAGAGCGACCCTGTCTTTAGGAGACCGTAAATTCTTCGCGCCCGTAGATATTTCATCGTGCTCGCATTCGCGTATACACACGCAAAATAGCGCAAAATAGATCGTTTAGCACGATGTTGCAAACAAAAAAAAAAGCTCGACTTTCAGCTTTGTTTTTGTTTTGCGCAAGGTACGGTTAAATAAAAAATATATATATGTCTCTGAACAAAAATCAATTAGCACGAGTGTGTGATAGAAAAATATCTCTGAAAAATAATATTCGTGATATTTCAATTTCTCTTGATGCAAAGGGGGAAAGGCAGAAAAAGAGCAAATGAGAATTGAAGAGAAATTAAAGGTTTTTAAATTGAAAAATTGTTTAATAAGAAGACTACGCAATTAAGTATGTTTGAACTAAATATATTAAATCTATTAAAAAGGACTAAATATATTCAATATATTAGAAAGGACAATTGAGGAATTAGAAAAAAATTGGGAAGAAATTAATAATATACGAAGTCTTTATATTAACTTTGCGTATAATAATTAATAAAAATAATACAGTGTAGATACGTATACGTGTACACGAAACTTGTTCTCCCGTTGAAATCCGTCGAATCTTCATATCGAACGCGATATGACATTGTGATGTTGCGCCCACTTAAGAGCCCGGTTAAGAGCGATCGCGAATTTCGGATCCGAGGATACGTGCGTAGCGAGCGTTAATCCGCGCCGCGAGCGCGCGAGTACTTACGTACTTACGCCGGCAGAAGCCAGAAGTCCCCTTGGAGTGGCGCGGAGACGGATATAATTGAAGGCGGAGGTAATTAACTCCCTCGTGCAATGCGCCGCGCCGCGCCGGCAGCCGCTCACCGCATCGTTTTAATTACCGCTCTCGTCGCATTTCATCGGGCAGAAGCGCCTCCCCGCTTCTCTCCCGGAGGATCTTCATCACTCTCCGCACACTTCGTATTTATAATAAATCCGATACCATTGGGAAGAGAAGAGAGGGAGCGAGAGGGGGAGAGAGAAAAAAAGTGTGAGAGAGAGAGAGAGCGCACTGGAACGTCGCTTGACGATCCTTCAAAGATATTCCTTTGAAAAAGAAATCTTTTCTTCATACGTTTCTTTGCTATCTAAAATTTTAGGACGAAAGAGAGAGAAGATTATATAAATTTATATTAAACGAAAGTAAAAATTAGATTAAAGAATTACGCTGTAGAAGCAAATAGCTAAACTTTATCTTTTTATTTATTTCTGACTAAACCTGTTTTTAAGAGTTTTATATTTTTTTTTCGCAAATTTACGGAATGGTTTTACTTGATTACCACTAATAATAGTAGAACACCTCAATTTCTTCATATTGATCAGTATAATAGAAAGTATTGTTTGCACGTACCTTTGCCGCAAAGTGCATTAAACGCAAGATATATCGCGTGAATCAAAGGATTAAACGCGCAGAGTTTACCTGATTATGCCAACACGCAATTAACCTGTTTTACATCGAATATGCGTTTGGATTGTAGGTGTCCTCGATCAACAGGGTACTGAGGAATCTGGCCGCGCAGAAGGAACAGAGGCAGCAGCAGCAACAGCAGCAACAAGGGGTGGGCGCCGTGGGGGTTGGCGTCGGTGCCGGCAGTCCGGCGGAGAGCGTTTACGATAAACTCAGGCTACTAAACGGACAGACCACCGGCTGGCCGCGACCCAATCCCTGGTAAAATTAATGCTCATTGGCAGACAAATTACATGCTCCTTAAAATGATTTTATACAAAAAACGTGTTCTTTAGTCGAAGACAAGGATCAACTCTTTTTCATTCTTTTCAATTCGTTTTTAATTTTTTGTCTTAATAAAATTTAAATTTAATTGTAAGAAAGATGGTTGATTATATAATAAATATCGGGATAACTTCCGTAATCAATAAAAATTTTAAGAATTTTTCCAAATTCGGAAGGAACTTTATATCTATTAAATTCGTATTTATAAATCGTATGAGTCTTTTTCTTTTCAAAAATAATTTTCTTATAATTGAATATTATTTATAGTATGCACGTGTACTTGCTAACAATAAGAACAATCGTTATATCTTAGGTATCCGTCGAGCGCGGGAAGTCCGTTTTCGTCGATACAATCTAGTTTGAGTCCGAGCCATTGTTCATCTCTGCCACCGGATCCGGCGGATATATTGCACGCGAAGAAAGGTAAGTTCACATCTGAATAATTATTACGATATTTTTCTAGTGCAGAGCTTTTTCGTGCTCGTGATCTTTCGATAACACCGTTCTCGACGAAATGAGAGATATATTCCGAAATATTCAATCGAATTACACAGTTTGTTAGGGGCATCCCGTATTTTTGGCCAAGGCTACGTTTGGCCAAGCAAGAGAGGCTTCGCCTCGCGTGCACGACGAAAGCCTTCGACAATTGTTGGCGCATGGTATTCCGGTATGCTTTCTGTGTTAAAGCGCTAGCGTGAAATGCAAATACGTGTGCGGGATGAGTGGCCACAGGCGGCAGGCGGGAGAGGTGCGTTTTAATTAATTAATCTGTCGGGCCAAACGATACTAATATCAATGTAATTCCGTCGGCGGGTCCCGCGGTTCGCCGCACGCGTGTGTGCAACGCTTTTCCGGTAATAATTTTCCGGTAACGTTTAAGCACGGCCTTCGAAGCGTGCAGGAGGGATAGAGAAACACGAAGCAAAACGGAGAGCGAACGAGAAAGAAAGAGAGAGAGACGTTTCGGGGATGGCGGGGGATTGCGCAGAAACGTGGTTGCAGTCGACCGACCAACCCACGCGAAACTACTCCGCCACCGACGGCGTATTCCTCCTCCTCCCCCTCTCTCTCTCTCTCTGTCTGCCCCCGCGCGCGTTCTCTTTGGCGGCACATCAAACGCGTGCGATTTCTTTCCCTCGCATTTTCCCGCCATCGCCACCGCTACAGCCCCGTGACGCGGGGTGCGTCAGAAGCAGCGAAGAACGGTCCCCTTAGATTTTTTTTTATTTATATCGCGACGCTTGCCCCGTCGATCTTGCTGATCGCCGACGAAAAACTTGCGATTCTCTTTGATTGTGTATATAATTTGACAAGATGTAAAGTATTTTGAAATTATTTCACCAAAGAATGCAATTAGGAAGAGAAATCTCCGCGACATTTAAGTATTTTTCGCAAACGGTTACATAAGTATCGTATACAGTTACATAATTATGATGTATCTTATTTTTTTTAGTAAAATTTCTTGAAGCAAGCTTTAATAATAGCCAATAGTAGGATTAATAAACACAATTCAATGCATAAAAAGGCAATGATAATAACAAATAATTTGCGTTTTAATTTGCACTAATTAGCCTTATGACATAAAAATCTTATATAAAGTGATTACAAATTTACAGCAGGCTGTACGTCTTACAAATCATTTATAGATCAATAAACAACAGATCCTATAAACCAACGTTAAATTTTATTATTAATTACTCTTATACAAAAACAATCTTTTACGATGTCAATTAATAATGTCGATTCCGCATAAAAATGACGTGTTATCGCGAGCGCAAGTTCTTCACAGTACAGAACATTATTTCGTATTACTTCGCGGTACAGCATATTATTTCGTATTCCGATCTTATAGAGGAGGATAGGAAGGGGGTACGCAATCAAATATGGTAACTGTTGCGAGCGTTCAACCGCATGCGGGCCCCGGGGGCCGGATTATCGATGCGTTGCTGCGGGGGTAGCGTCGTTTATAGGATAACCCGTGTCAGGAGGGTTGTTTCACCCCCGTCCTTCTCCCCCTCTCCCTTCCCGCCCTCTCGCTATCGCGTCTCTCTCTCTCTCTCTCTCCGTCTTCCCGCCGCGACGTCTCTTCCTCTTCGTCTTTCTCTCACTCGCTCCTTGGAAGTCTATCTCGCCTGCGTGTATCCTCCCTAAGTATCTCGACTGTTGTCGATGTATCGGTCGAAACGGAAGACCCAACGACGCCCCCGGCCAATCACGCAGCAGCCATCCCCCCGTTCCTCGGGAAAGCAAAGCGAAAGCAGATTACGGCGCAATCATCGCGCGGGCTGCAGGCGCCGCGCTCGTGTTCCCTCTCGTCCCGGGGCGAGGATTTTTCGATCTAGCCTGTTTCGTATAGAGCATCTTAATTCTAGGAATCTATCTAGATTAGAGATTCAGACGGACCCTAAGAATTTTTACTTTTCCTTGAAAATTTCAATTTCATCAGCGATGCTAAAACTAAGTATTTTTTCTTATAATAAACCATGTTGCTATTCACTGTCGAACATGTATATTTATATATATATATATATATATATACCTATATATATATATATATATATATATATGTATTAGCTATGAATCGATTTTTGTACGGCGACTGCAATATGATGGATTGGGATGATGAATGAATTCTAAATGTGTATTAAGTGCAGAGAGAGAGAAACGTATATAAGGAACGATTTTTCAATGTTGGATAACATCGAGAATGGAAATCATCGGTAGAACCTCGTTCTTAATGAGAGAGTTTAATAAAATCGGTTTAATAAATTGGCTACTACGCATATTAAAGCTAAACCCTTCGTTGTCGCATTATTCTAAGCACTCTCCTACGTTACGCTCTTCAAAGGGAGTTATTTAAGTCTTCAGCGGTTCTCCCGATAATGTCGATACTTTTATAACGTCGAAGGGAAAAGAACGCACTTTCTTCGCGCTTTCTATAAAGAGTCCATGCTGAAAGAAACCCAACCGGCAAGGGCACAGACATACTTTTTAATTTTTTAATGCTTTCGCGTCGGAGAGCGCCGTTGCTACATTCATTTCCTTCTCAACGGGAGATATGGAAAATAGATCAACAGAACAAATTTCCCTTGAAACAATTATAATAGCCCGAGAAAAAAGCTGTAGTTGCCTTGAAAGTGAGGGTAATTCTGTTGCTCTCGCAAACTCTTTTTAACATCATTTATTAATTGCGCAAGTAGTTACACGGAATAATATATAGCTAACGAGGGACATATCGTTATACAACATTTTCTATTTTTGCTCTTGCGATTTATTCGTGGAAATTTTCAAAAAATCTTTAAAAATATTTTTATAAGAATAATTTCTAATAATCAAATTTAATTGGAATAGCCGGCAAGTAATTAGAGGCTTTAGAATTTTCATTTAAAAGTTTTTGAAAATTGCGGTCATTGTTTTTTTCCAAAGCATCTTATACAATCTACAAGGACATTTCATTTTCATAATGGATCACGTCTTGTCTCCCACATTTCCAATAATATCGAGCGGATTGAACGTGCGCGATCGATACGCTGTTAATCCCCGGGACATTGTGCAAGAAACATTCTCCGAAATACAGTCAGTTTAGCTTAGATATCATCGTGCTGCACAGCCGTCGTCGTGTTGTCGACGTCGTCGGGTTGTCTGGTGAGTCTGATTCACAATGCATCCCGGGGTTGCATTGTACCGCGTTGCGCGAGACTAGACGACGTAGAGGCATGCAGAAGAATTTTCACCAGAGGGTGGCAAAAGAAGGGAACAGGCAGGCGGGAGAGAAAGGAGGATAAAGAAAAGAAAGAGAGAAGACAGAGGACTGGCGAGATAAAGGGAGGAGAGAGAGAGATAAGGGAGCGCGCGCGCGATGAAAGGGTCGCTCCATCGTGATCGAGGCGAAAGGGGGTTCGGGTCGTTGCAGCATTGTTTTTTCACCTCCAAACCTCCCCGCACTGGGCGTCACTGCGGGGGAAACGCGGGAACTCGAATACCTTTCTGCGATTTCAATATCGCTGATACGCGTATACCTACCGTGTACAACGCGAACGCGTTATTGGCGACGTGAGAGAGGACAATGATCGCCGGTCGTATTATTTTCGCCAATAAACGTGAAGTTCCCTTATCTTGGTGCACAATTACATGAACATTGCGTGCGAAACTCTTTCGGTATACGTATATAACGTAAAACACGAAATTTATGTATAATATAAAGCGGAAGGAGTTCAGTATCGCGCGTGTCGCGTTAAGAAAATTCCATTCGATTTACCACCGTAGTTGATGTTTCATTTTTGCAGTTCAAGATCGAGAGTCTTGATTTTGATTCCGCTTCTACGTTAATTTCCGTTCTAATTCCGCTTCCACTTCCGAAATACGAGAAGTCAATCGTGGTATATAAGATTAAAGACAGGATTCAAATCGCGAAAGCGATTGGTTCTGGATTTAATGGCACCTCGCGCATTCAATCACCCTAAGTCGCGAAAGGCGGGTTAACGCGCCCTTATCACCGGCGTCTCTGTCGCGCTCGTTCGGAGTACGAGTCTCCCTTGCGAGAGTCCCTTCTTCCCGCGGGTTTCTCCCTCGCGCTCGTCAAAGACGCGCGCGTACATTCAGTCCTCCGCATATTCCGGCCGATCTCCGCCCGAGATACAGAGGTAAAACAATATAATGGCTGCCTGCTGCGCCTGGTACCGCGGGATCGAGGGTGCACCACCGAAGGCATTATTGTCGACCTTCTTTATCTCGCGAGCCCGATCTCTCGCTCTCCATCCGTCATCCCTTTCGCTTCCTTTTCTCTTTCTCTCTCTCTCTCTCTCCCGTTTTCCTACGTTTTTCTTTGTCGAATTTTCTCCCGGGTTAGGTTATAGATACGCACCGCCGCCGCAAAACGATGCGACGACAGCTTTTATCACCGACCGGCACAATGCGGTCTCTGGTTGCCTCCCATTCTGATTGTTGCTACCGTCGTTTTCCCGCTTGTTCTTCCAACTCAAAGAGCTTGCACCGCTCTTCGTCACATTAATAATTCTTATAAAAAAACTGTATGGGATTAATCTTTTACTGTTCTCTGATGCACTTCAAATATATCGACTGAATCGAAATAAACAATTGTTAGTCACAATACAAAGAGAATGAAGTTACTAGTGTTCAATAAATACCATGGAGTGATGGCAAAAAAATAATTTATGTATATACAAAAAAAATTACACAATTATTTTAATTTAAAAGAATAATTAGCTGCAAGTCTGCAAACGTCATTTACATTAAAATCATTGTTTTTTTTTCGTCGAAGAAAAGCTGTAGAATAGATAACACATCTCCAGCAGAGATTCCACGCGCGTCGTAAAAGTTGCATTTAGCATCCGCGTGCTTACGCGTACTTCATCCTCCGCTCGGCAACTCGACCGCGGACCGGTTCCTCGCCACTTCCGGCT